TGCCTTGCCTTGCCTTGCCTTGCCTTGCCTTGCCTTGCCTTGCCTTGACCTTAGATTTCATTGCCTTGCCCAGACCTTACATTTCCTTTCATTTCCTTGCCTTGCTTGACCTTAGATTTGATGGCCTTACCTTGCCTTGCCTTGCCTTGACCTTATATTTGATGGCCTTGCTGAAGCCTCAGATTTTATTGTCCTAATTTAGACTTGATTGTTATGGCCTTAGGTTTCAATATCTGATCCAAAGACTTTATTACCCCAAGACTGTTTAAGACTTATATTAGGGACTGTAACATGCAACATTTTTCACTTTTGCCTGAGAATTTATTGACTTGGCCTTTTATAGTTTTGGCCTATGACTATTTATGGCTTAGTTGAGCAGCCATATCAAGACTTGTGTAATCCAATGGAATAACAGTGACAAATGGCTGCTATTTGTCTACTGGGCCAACACTTGATCACCACTTGCCAAAACAACCTTTCGAGAAAGTACTAATTAGATCCATGGTCAAGAACCATTCCTGGAGAGGGCATCTGATAAGATCTCATCTTACTCTTACAAACCAAAAATGTGCTAGACTATCATGAATGAAATTCTGGCTGGTCAATTTCTGAAGTGAGATCTAGAAATGTGAGTTAATCAAAATTTTGATGTTTAACAAAAAAAAAGATGTACATGTAGATACATCTCTGGTTTTCTTCTACTTAAACTTGTACACACAGAATGACAGGCGACTCCTATATGTTGTCATGGCAACGTAAGATGGGACAGGGAATTTCCACTCTCGACCAACAAGCATGTACCGTAACCATAGCACCCAAACTTCTTTGTGTATTCATGTATTCAAATGTAAGAAATCAATTTCCTATTGTCTGCCTTGATTCCCTAGAACTCCACAGATCTTTCTCGTCCAAACAACACGTAGTTTGATACTTATCACATTTCTGTGAGTTGGAGACGTTGGCTCACGTGACAATGGTTTTCAGATAGGCATCCACATTGTCTTTTTGCATTCTTCAAGGCACTAATCTCATTTATACACATGCCAACATCCAATTCATTTTGTCTGCTGCTTAGTGACTGTGATCTCAAACAGCATATATATATATGCCTAGGATGATACAAACCTTCTTATCATCTTCCTATCAGATTCAAAAAGGTAAATGCAGATCAGAAAAATTGTCAGACATCAAAATATTACTATTGATAACACCGTGCCAAAATAATCCAACAGATGTGCACATAAAATGGTGACATCACAGTCAAAAGTTGTAAAGTCTAGATCTCATAATGATGTCGTATCTTAATTCAATAAATGCACAAATAACTCTGTTACATTACAATTCAATGAACATGATCAAATGATGTGCACATAACATGATGATATCACAATCAATGGATGTACACATAACATGATGACATCACAGTCAATGGATGTACACATAACATGATATCACAATCAATGGATGTACACATAACATGATGACATCACAGTCAATGGATGTACACATAACATGATGATATCACAGTCAATGAATGTACACATAACATGATGATATTACAATCAAATGGATGTACACATTATATGATGACATCACAATCAAATGGATGTACACATAACATGATGATATTACAATCAAAGGGATGTACACACAACATGATGATATCACAATCAAGTGGATGTACACATAACATGATGATATTACAATCAAAGGGATGTACACATAACATGATGACATCACAATCAAATGGATGTACACATAATATGATGACATCAAAATTTTATGTTCGTTTGTTAATTATGGTGAATTTATGATTGAATAAAAACCCTATTTATATTCAGTTTGACAATTAAAAATTTCCCATTGATATCGATTTGGTTGGAATAATTAAATGTCAAATGCAATTACCATGGAAACATCAATTCTAAATTACCGACATCTCTAAGAAAAACATCAAAATGGCTGCATGTTACAAACAAGCTTCATTGCATTAAACTGTTGATAAAAATAACTCTAAAGCTAAAACACATTTGATAAGTATTGCTAAAGGACTGAGAAACTATTGTAGTATTTTTGGAAAATGGTTAACTGAGAGCAAGGGACTAATTAGTCTGTTTAATGAACCATGAAGTCTGATAGCATGTGATATATTACCAGACATGTTCTTTGCCTCTGCTTGGCTGGAATAGGCCCCCAAAGGCACTCATCCATTTAGCGATTGCATGATGTATATTCCCAACATGCGATAGAGTCTGGCCAAGTTTTAACCTTTGACCTCATTAGACCAATCCTAAGCTACAAAGCTAGATGTATTAAGACTCATTCTTCAAATACTATCAGTACTGCCTAACAATAAGTGTCAAAATATCCATCAAAAATAATTAATTAAACAAAAATTTATATTGAGCAATTACAACCAGGCAGATAGAAACCTCACATTCATACCAAAATCAACAAGTTTGCTGCGTACAGCTAAACAGAAAATGAAAACAACGTAATTATTCATTAACTTTCACCGGCACACAAAGCATTCTGGGATGGGACGACGAAATTTATTACCCATCCCATAAGCTTAGTAAAAACTACCAAATAGTATCATGAGAAAACCTTTGTCGTTGGACAATCGACCCCACACAAATTCAAATCCATCTCAGAATCAAATCCCAGCCAACTCGGTAAAAGGCCATTGTGCCATTCACTGCATCACTTAATTATCGAAGATAAAACTTCAACGAATATATATATTCCATATCTAATAATCCTGTGGAAATGCTACGAAAATCCACAGCCAACAAGTCAAGTTCAAAGCAGATTAAATCACACTCTAACTGTTTGCCTTTGAACACTGTAATCAAATTCAATAACCTTAAAACTTCAATATTTTGTAAGATTCTATAAAACTTGTAACAAATTTGTTTATGAGAGTGTTCCAAAGACATTAAGTTACACTACTAGTAGAAGAGTATTGAAGAGAACATTGTATTTAAAAAACAAAATGTTATTTTCTCCTGAGAAAATATCTGGGATGGTTTTGGTTAATTGCCAAGGCTAAAAAACATGTAAAATTGATTTCAAAACTAAATCGTCCATCGACTTGTCCTGAGAAATATGTACAGATACTGTTAGGAGTTTAGCTGTCAATAACTGGATTTGGAAAGGTTTGAAAAATACCATACCACTTGTAGACCAACAGAACATGAATCTTCTCTTCCTTCTCTACACAATGTTTGTAACATTGTCATGTAAAATCTCCAATTCAATATTTTCCATGCCTCTAAAAAAATATTTGTATTGATTCTCCTTTGTCTTGTGAAATACTTATGATTCTTAATCTAAGTTAACCATTTTCTCTCCACTCACTAAGTAATGTTAGAAACATAGACAATCCTACACTTGTGTTGATGTAACAAGTTCAACAATTTGAAAGGTCAAAATCCTCTAGGTAAGTAAAATGCCAAAAACAAAATGTATTGATAAAGTTCGATAAATTCCACATCATATGGACAAGTATAAGATTCTATTTATCAAATAACTCATATTTCTGAAAAATAAGCAAAAAAAACCTCTGAAGTTATTTTCTATATATATAAAAGGCTTATTTTGACTTGGACAGGATGTTAATCATTACTGAGACGATCATATGAGGTCCTACAGATGTGACCTATCTTATCATTACGATCATATGACGTCCTACAGATGTGACCTATCTTGTCATTAGGATCATATGACGTCCTACAGATGTGACCTATCTTGTCATTACGATCATATGACATCCTACAGATGTGACCTATCTTATCATTACGATCATATGTCATGTGACCTATCATATTACATCCTACAGATGTGACCTATCTTATCATTACGATCATATGACGTCCTACAGATGTGACCTATCTTGTCATTACGATCATATGACATCCTACAGATGTGACCTATCTTATCATTACGATCATATGACGTCATCATTACGATCATATGACATCCTACAGATGTGACCTATCTTATCATTACGATCATATGACGTCCTACAGATGTGACCTATCTTGTCATTACGATCATTTGACGTCCTACAGATGTGACCTATCTTATCATTACGATCATATGACGTCCTACAGATGTGACCTATCTTATCATTATGATCATATGATGTCCTACAGATGTGACCTATCTTATCATTACGATCATTTGACGTGATACACCACATCAGTAAATATGAAATAATGTAATTTCACGGGGGACCATTTTCATGGTTTTTTTTTTAAAAAAAATACTACTTCCTGCATGGACACCTGATTCCAAGGATACAAATAGCCCAATAAACCTACTGATAAAAAAAGTTTGTGGACATATGAATTCATGGATTAATCCCTCACAAAAATTTACAATATTACAGTAACTGATAAATATACCTCTGGCTTAGACAAGAAAATTGGAATTCAGAAAGTCAGGATAAGTATAAGATACATAAATGATCTATTGAGAATTTGCCAGTGAAGGGCTGATTTTTATGAGTGATAGCTAAAAGTATCAACTAAAGAAAAATTCTCTTAATTACTTCTTACGTGAAAGACGAAGCAGAAATCTGTAAGTATATAGGTAAAAATATATATGTATTGTTTACTGAGGGTAAAGTTACTTACAGTAACTAAAGCAGTTATTTTACCATTTCTTAAAATCTGCCATGATTCCTTGTATTAACCTGTGCATCAACATCACTATTTTAAATTTTAAATTATGACCTGACAAAAGCTGAAAAATTTGGTAAGGATCTCTAGAAAACTTAACAAACTGAAATAAAAAGTAAGCATAGATGCAGCCGATGATGGAAAATAACACTGTATTTTAGCTTCTGCTCTTTAAAGGACAAAAATTCTGCATCATTTTTCTATGTAACATTGCAATGTTGATAGTCTGACTCAATAAGCAGACTACCAACAGACCTAGGATCTTGTAGACTACATTATATACACTATTAAAGAGTAAACGGATGATAGACTTACTTCCCAATAGTCTCACAAACTTCATACACGTCGTCAAAGAGGACCTCCTCCTCGTCCCCAGACATCTTGATGCTGAAATAGATTTGAAAAAATAAATATTTGTTTATGTTTTTTTCTGATAGATAACATTGTTTCAAACATTTAACAGTTCATTAATTCATTAACACCATATAAAACCAAAACTTTCTTTCCTTCTTTCTTCCTCCTTCCAACCCCTTCCTTCCTTCCTTTCTCCCTCCATCCCTCTCTCTCTCCCTCCATCCCTCTCTCTCTCCTTCCATCCCCTTCCTTCCTCCCTAAATCCCTCCTTCTCTCCTTCCTTCCTTCTTTCTTCCCTCCATCCCTCTCTCCCTTCTTCGTTCCCTCCATCCCTCTCTCCCTCCTTCCTTCCTTTTTTCCTTCCATCTTTCATTCATTGGAATCGTTTACTTATGCAACTTTTTAAAACATGATTTGCTATTCAGTGATATTATCAACTTATGTCCATTCCTTGTCCGGTAATAAGCCCACATACATCGGAGGTAAATAATCCCCTGGGCTTATTCCAGGATAAATGGTAAAAAGCTTTACATAGTGTCTCATACAGCTACATCCAAGCTTTACGTACAATTGAAAATAAAGATTATAGCAATCATTCAATTCTTCGATACCTTCGATTATCAAAACAAATTCGACACATCAAACCTTTATCAGAAGATAAATACAATCATTTGAAAAGCGTAGCAAAAATCCATTTTCGATTCAATTGGATGATGTTACAATGTAACTTAAGTCAACAGAGATGCCTACACATGCTGAAAAACTCCACTCATCCTATAGTGTTGTGCTGCAATAACACATAGTGATCAATCACATCGATTTTGTGAACAATGAAGTAGACTACATTTTTTTACAATGGCACAATTAGGTGGTAATCATTACATGGAACAAACACAACTGTTACATTTATAAGTGGCTACAGTCGATTGATAAGCAGGCCCTGTGACTTCGAATCGTTCGTCCAGGGCATCACCAATGTAGTCCCTCCATAAGTCCATATGATCAATACAACAGTCCATTATTTTGGGGACTGCAACAGCTCAGTCAGCTGGAGCATTGACCTACATAACCTAAGGTGAAAATCAGAAGTGCATGTTTTGATGCTCCCTCCCCATGGAGGTTTGTGTTTCTCAGAAAGTTGAGATCTGTACCAGTCTGTGCTGATGTAGTTGTGTCCTTAGGCAAGACACTTCATCCGTATTGCTCCTAATGGCATGCGACAGGTCTCCCATATGTTGTTCAATGAGCTTACAACTTTTAAAAGGACACTCCACCTCACAATGACCCTGGTTGTTAACAGGGCAATTATGTTGTAAATATTGCACAAAAGTATGTTTTTCTTATAGTCTTCTTTACTCCACGTCTATTGTCTCCATGGTGATGCCATAATTTGTTCTCCAATTGTGTGAAGTACGATGTTTCATTATCATTTCATATGGTCAGAAAAGATCACACTTCATCAATGTATATGAACAGTTATGCCATCTGAGTATTCAGACACCATTTCATTGTTTTTACAATAGAAAAGAAATGGAGAGTAAAGTTTCCAAATTTGACCTTCGACCTTTAACCTTGACCGATGACCACTTTAATCTGTTTAGGTGTAGAGTTGGTTTATTGCTACGTTAGGTCCTATTAAATGCCAAGGTCATTGCAGGATAGATATGCCAGGTTTGGGTGGAGAAAGAAAGTCTCCCTGATAAAAATCACAAACCTGCGGCTAGCACCTGGCGATTGTCTTGAACCCCCAACCCAGACATGGAAGACTAGTGATAAAGGCGGTCAGACGCCTTAACTGCTTGGTCACCACAGCCCTGGTTTAGGTGTAGAACATGATGGTAAGATACTATAGGATAAATAGGAACTAAATCTATAACAAGGTTACATTGATTCGGAACAGGACACGATAGGATGACTGACACCTACACCATGGTACATCAGACAGACAGAAACACTATATGTTGGGGGAACAAAAATATACAACATTGATGTATGAGAAGGCATAAAGATATAACTGCGGGAAAAGTCTAACATTTAGTGGCATTAGAGAGTTCCATACTGACATTACTAACTCCAGTGATAGTGTCGTATTTATATAAACGCTGCAGATAGAACATGTTACATGATATTTACTGTTATAATCATACAAAAACACACTACCACTTCATATTTCATCAGTTCTCAAGGCAAGTCATCATTTGTATCATACTTCAGAGCCAGCACAACCAGTGTTCCATTGACCTTTTCGAGGAATATATTCACACATATCTGACAACAGCATTTAATGTTATGTATGCACTGTCACCAGTACTAACGATGCATGTGTATCGAGTGCAGTATGATATATATACATCCACAGGCATCATTTACTACTCGTCACACAAATACACCATTCTCCATATTCCCAACCTCAACAAGCAGTTTTCAGATTCACCATTTTACAATTTAGTGTAAATTTGTGAATTCAAATACAATGGTTATAAAACTGAAGAACAAAGCAGGTTAATCAACCTTGTAAGTGGTATTCCATGTAAATCTGAAAGTTTCTCTGATACGGACTCTCCAGTTCCTCATCACAAAGTTTTATTCTACAGACATTGCAATTTTTTTTATTTCCTAAAGCATAAAATGACTAATTTCATCTGTAACTCATGTTTTGTAGACAGTGATTTTTTTGCTCTGTTTTCCTATGCCACAATACAAACACAAAGTAGAAATTCACCTGTGTGTAACAAATGGCTAATTACGATGTAGCGGTGGTCCATTGTACACACAACACTTGGTCTCTGGTGATTAATTACAAGTATTCACATCCAATTACAGTTTGGCTTCTTAATTAGTTTCACCATCCTATAGCATTGACTTAACTGTGCATTAAAAAAGTAGTGTATTTACACAAAACATGAAAACATTTAACTTGGTTGCGTGCATCTTCAGGAACGATAAAAACGAAACCATCAAACCAGTACAGACTTTTTGATGAAATCTGATTCCCACAATTCCGAGAGAAACTAATTTTAAACTTGTTTACTAAAGAACGGTGATCGGGAACTTTGTTTGATTGTGTGTTTGGACAATGAAGTGCTGAAAGTATTTTTCATGGAGTCTATATCTGTGCATGGTTTGTTAAGTATAGCGTTTGTACAGTGTTTTTCTAACCGGTAAAAACTTTCCAGCGCTGTGTTTTTCTTAATAAAGTCATGTTGATATCTGTAGCTTTATAATCGTTTCATGTAGCATATCAAAAGCAAATTCTAATTTTGTTTTATTGTCATTCTGTAAAATATATGATGCACATGTGCTTGGTCAGTTATGGTATTGTACATGTGTGCGGGACGGAACAACGTGAATACAAATGCATTTGATTGGAGTAATTCTTACATTTTTCGTTGTTTGAATGAAAAAACAATAAAAGGAAAAAGTAGAATCAAATTAATTTGTTTTTTTACTGCAATTTCAAAAAAACAGATTAAACTACGCTGCTATCATAGCCCAACTTCGTACAACCATAATTAACGTCAAATTTATTTATACACTTCGTTTGAGTCAAAATTCTGATAAGTCGAAATATTTTTCACAGTCCCTTGAATTTCGAGATAACGAGTTTCGACTGCATGTCATTTTCCCAAAATGAAACAAAATCAGAACATTTTTCTAATTTTCCAGATTTATGAATTTAGGCTGAATGAATCAATGGACATCATGGACAAAGAGCCAAAACAACTCTTAAGAATCAATGGACATCATGGACAAAGAGCCAAGACAACTCTAAGAATCAATGGACATCATGGACAAAGAGTCGAAAAAACTCTAAGAATCAATGGACATCATGGACAAAGAGCCAAGACAACTCTAAGAATCAATGGACATCATGGACAAAGAGCCAAGACAACTCTAAGAATCAATGGACATCATGGACAAAGAGCCAAGACAACTCTAAGAATCAATGGACATCATGGACAACATCATGGACAAAGAACCAAAAACTCTTAAGAATAAGAATCAATCGACATCATGGACAAAGAACCAAGACAACTCTAAGAATAAGAATCAATGGACATCATGGACAAAGAGCCGAAAAAACTCTAAGAATCAATGGACATCATGGACAAAGAGCCAAGACAACTCTAAGAATCAATGGACATCATGGACAAAGAGTCGAAAAAACTCTAAGAATCAATCGACATCATGGACAAAGAACCAAGACAACTCTTAAGAATCAATGGACATCATGGACAAAGAGCCGAAAAAACTCTAAGAATCAATGGACATCATGGACAAAGAGCCAAGACAACTCTAAGAATCAATGGACATCATAGACAAAGAGCCAAGACAACTCTAAGAATAACATAAGAAGCCTTTTTTCTGAAATATTTACAAAATAGATTACGAGACCTGACATCATAAAAGAATAGTCTAAGTAAAATTCACTGCAGATGAAACTGATCATGAATTTTCTTTATTAGTTTGCCCGAAAGGCAATGCAAAATAAAGCGAAGAATTTTCAGCCTTTTTTCAATAGAACCTCATATGAAACAGAATCTTCTGTAAGATATATATAATCCTTGTCACATTTCAATGTGATAACAAAAGTTGGTATTTGCTGAAGCACAGGTTCTCTTTGAAATGAACAACATACAGATGGCCTGTCTCATGCCTTCCAGAGCAATTGGGGTAAAGATATGTCTTGCTGAAAGACACAACCATGACAGCATATACCAGCGTGTTTCTGACGAGTGTCAAACCACATACCTCCGATCTCCACCTGATGTTGGGTAGATCATCATTCTACCAATTAACTAATGTGTTCCACAAGTTTAAGATAACATTACAAATATATATTTAAGTCAAGTTCCACTTGACACGGTAAGACAGAAAAACACTACAATGAAAAAAATCTGTCTTATGTATCAACTGACTAGCTCTGAAAAATTCTATCAATCAATGTAATTGTTTTGAATATTTTTTCTTTAAATTGGCTCCCAGTAGCATGGATTAATTAGGTTTTTTACCAGAAGAACAGTCAAGATATG